TTGGTGATCTGAGGAACTCTTGAAGATCATTATGTAAAGTAACAACCCTAGTTATGCTCCTTGTTTTGAAGGCTTATATCATCATTGTTTTGGGCTCTTTGCTGTTGACATTTGTCTTTTTTGCTTCTTGTTTTTCTAGTAATTTGTTTTGTTTTGTTTTCCCATCTGATACAGAAATGATAGGTATACATATAGATGGTTATACGTGCATAGAACTTCTAAACAGTTTAAAAGAATCGATTGTATTATGTGTGATGAAATGAACAACTACTTTGATGAAAAAGAGGCATTATGGTATGCATTGTTGATTCTGTACTATCATGCTGTGAAATCCAGTAATGCTTTTATTCTTTGCCTAGAGTGATTTTAGTTTGTTTTGTATTGTTTAATTTTAATGTACACTAAGGTATGGACAGCTATTTTGAAAAGAACAAGAGACATTATGGCAGCCATTGTTGATTTTCCTAATGTCTGGTTTTGATGGCCTATAATGCCTTCATCACTCCATTCTGATCAGTTTAATACTATTGTGTTTAGTATGAATTCATTGTGTATGAAGATACGGACAACTATTTGAAAGAAATCAAAAGACATTATGGTATCCAGTGATGATCTCCTGTTGTCTTGCTTTGAAATCTGTGTCACTTACATTATTTTCTTCTGTATGCTTTGTTCTGTTTTGTTAAGTTTAGTTTTACTCTCTTTAAAATAAAGAAAGAAATAATTTCTCAGATAATTGCAGAGATGGTGACAATAATGAAAAATGGCTAGTGACTCTAGACAAGACACAGAAAAAATCAGATTTAAAAAATCTAGAGGAGTTATGGTGGAAACCATGAATTCCACCATGAGTTATGGTGGAAACCAACAAAGGAAAAATAAGATTCCATGAAACAGATGCAAAGAGATATCTAAGAGGTTAAAAGTTCCATTCAAAATAATGAAGCAGAATTAGCCAGTATGTAAACAGAATAACAGATCTGGAGGACAGGATTGTGGTTACCAATCATGAGAAGAAATATTTCTTAAAAATAGTAAGGGACGGACTTCCGGGAGAACATGACGGACAAATAACAGCAGCCACGGAGGCACTCTGAGATTACCAGTTTAGAATCCAGGAGCGGTGCCGTGTGAGGAGTCCTATGTGAGGGGAGATGTACCCTGCTGACCCAGGAACGAACTAAGCTGAGAGAAACCAACTGGAAATGCAGTTCTGATGCTACAACAGGATAAAATCTCAGTGCAGAAGCTGGATCCCACGCCATTGGAAGCTGCAATTTGAATTTCCTGCTGCCGATACTGCGTCCCAACCCACATGGCAGGGAGAGAGACACATGAAAGCGCTGAGAGCTGGAATCGGCAAACCAAATGGCATTGAGAGCAGGACTGGCAGGGAGCCCTGCATTGATTTGCAGTGAGTGAGAGAAATGGGCACCCTTTCATAGACTAGGAGGCTCCAATAGAGGACATTTTGGGAATGAGTAGACTAGCCGGAACAGGGCCCTGCAGTGACTTTAGTCTCATAGTCCCCTCTCAAGTGGGAGTGGTGGGGAGCGCTTGGCCTGGTGACTCCGTGGACCAGGATCCTGTAGGCTAGCCCAAATCAGATCCCTGTGCCTGGCGAAGCAGTGAAGCATTCAGTAGGTTGACCTGGAGGGGCAGGCCCAGCAGAGGCTGCCCAGGTCTGTGTCTCCCTAGTATACTGCAGTGGGCGGAAACACCTAGCTGGCAGATTCAAACAAACTGCAACAAAGAGAAAAAAAAGTGAGCCTTCTACATATGCTTGTATGGAAGGAACAAAAAGTATGGGAAGATGGAGCCACAAGAAAGGGTCCTCAGTTCCCAATCCTGAGAACACTGATGCAGGAAAGGTAAATGTAAAAGAGAATGAAGACAGAAAACATGCAATATCAAACACAGCACCTATAGATATAAAACGGTATCTCTGGAGCCTCATAGATGAGTTCAAAAATGAAGTATTTAATGAAATAAAACAAGAAATAAGTAGAATAGTTAGAGAAATGCTAAGTACCACCCTAGAAAAAACAGATGGTGGAATGGAAGAACAGAAAAAAAGGGGAGAATTGTTTGATGGAGAAAATAGAGAAAACATAGAATACGTGAAGCAGGTTCACAGAGATTTCCAGGAATCTAAAAACTCTATTGAAAGCTGGCATAACAGCTTGAAAGAAACTAAGGATAGATTATCAGAACTGGAGGGCAGATTTGTAAAGTGGGAGTATGAAATGAAAAACTTAAAAATAACAAGAAAACAAACAGCAATAATACAAAGACTAGAAGATGATAAGAGGATCTATAACTTAAGAATTAAGAACATAAAAGAAGAAGTAGGGACTCAAACAAATGAACTACAAAAGCTATTCATAGAAATAATCCAGGAGAATTTCCCTAATTTAGCAAATGGTAAAGATACTCAGATGTATGAGGCATACAGGACCCCAGCCACCTACAACCCAAACAGCACTACACCCAGGCATATAATAATCAAAATTCCAGAAATCCAATATAAGAACAGAATATTAAAAGCTGTCAAAGACAAGAAACAGATCACTTACAAGGGAACACCCATCAGAATTACAGCAGACTTCTCAGCACAAACCATCAAATAACGAAGAGTGTGGGGGGAAATAATTCAAGCCTTGAAAGATAATAACCTCCAAGATTGATATATCCTGCACAACTGTTCCTAGAAATTGATGGAAAAACAAGGTGCTTCCCGGATAAAGAGGAATTAGGGGAATTTGCAACCACCAATTCAACTCTACAGAGATTACTGCAGGATATTCTAAAAATGAAAAATACCAAGATTCCAGAAACAGTGGCAGAACAGCCACAATGAATGGAGCAGAAAGCGAAATGAAGAAGACAAACTGACAACTAATGACAGTAAAAGAGCTCAACAGAAATGAGGCAAAGAAGGTTGGATGGTAGGAACAGCCATTTTGGAGAAAATAAGACATCATAATAGGTAGTGGTGATTTAGTATCCTCTTGTTTTGAAGTCCCATCAAGCTTTTATTCTTCTGTCTCCATCGGTTTTAACGTGTTCTATCTTATTGGATTTTATTATATGTGGTAATATAAACAAAAACTTTTATAGACAAGGAGATTATACAGAAACCATTGTTCATTTTCTGTTAGTTGATTCTAAATACCTTGTAATACTGTCATTCTCTTGAACAGTTTTACATTGTCTTGATATGTTTGATGCTACAGTATATGAAGTTATATCCAAAGATTTTAAGGGAAGAGACACTATGGTAACTACTATTATGTCGAGATTATCTTGTGGTGAAACACTATTTTGCTTAAATGGCTATGTTTTGACCTGCGCTGTTTTGTTGTTATGTCCTCTTTTTTTAATCTCAATTTCCTTTTTATTATCTACTTTTTCATTTTTAATCTTTTAATTAAGGGAAAAATAAATAAAAAATAGCAGGATAAAAAAATAGTAAGAGACCATGAAAAATCAACCCAACAGCTGCTAGATAATGCAAAAAAGAATAACATAAAGCTGGTGAGACTCAATGAAAAAGCAAGAGATAGTGAAAATATTTTTAAAAAACTGTTCACAGAATTAATGGCAGAAAACTTTCCTGGCAGGCAAAAATAATTTCACATACAGATAAGTGAAGCATGTTAATTATAATTAATAATTAATAATAATAAAAAGCTGCCGCCAGGCATATAATAGTTATGATTCCAGAAATCAAGCACAAAAACAGAATATTAAAAGGTATTAAAGAAAAGAAACATTACCTATAAAGGAAAGCCCATGAGAATCACAGCAGGATTCTCAACACAAACTCTCAAGTCAGGGAGAGTTTGGAGTGAAGTATTTCAAGCCCTAAATGGAAACAACCCCCAACTAATATTGATGTACCCCATAAAACTATCTTTCAAAGTTAATAGAGATATAAGATACTAGCATGAAAAACATGGAGAAATTCATGACCACCAAATCAGCACCTCAAAATGTTCTGATGGACATTCTAGAAAGAGATATAAAGGATTTTAACTCCATGAACCCCAATAGAATGAATTTACCAGATGAGGCAAGTGACTAAATGGAGAGGGGTGAGGGAAAGGGAACCAGCAATAGGAAAATAACATGACAAAGATATATTTTTTCCTTTTTCTTTTTCCTGGTACCAGGGATCGAACTCACGACCGCCTGCTTGCAAGGCAGGTGCTTGTGCTGCTGAGCTAAATCCCCAGCCCCTACAAAGATTTTTATATGTTTTAACAATCAATGTAAATAGTCCTCAGCTCATCAATCAAAATAAATAGATTTGCAGAATGGATCAAGAAGTGGATCCAACAATATGCTGCATACAAGAAACACACTTAATTAAAAAAGAAATTCATAGAATTGAAAATCAAAGGATGGAAGATAATACTCCATGTAACATAAACCTGGAAAAAAACAAGGATAGGTACTTTATTTGAAGACAAATTGGATTTCAAGTCAAAACTGTTTAAGAGAGACAAATACCACTTCTGGGCATATTTCCAGAGGAACTGAAAACATATCACAGTGATATATATGCGCCTATGTTTATGGCAGCACAATTTGTATTAGCCAGTTCTTGGAAACAACCTAAATGTCCATTAACTGAGGGACGGATAAAAAAGATGTGGTACTTTTATACAGTGGAGTACTACTCAGCTTTAAAAAAGAATCACATTGAGTTTTTTTTTTTTAGGGAAATGGATGGAACTTGAAAGCATACTCATAAGTGAAATAAATCAAACTCACATATGTAAATACCATATTGTATGTTATAATAGTCTATATAGAAGACCCCCCAAAAAGACTTCTAGATTTATTAGAAAATTCAATGGTGTAGCTGGATAGAGTAAACATTAAAAAAATCAATAGCATTCATGTACACAAATAACAAATTTACTGAGAGAAATTAGCAAAACTGTATCTTTCACGATAGCATCAAAAAACAAATATATATATAAAAGAAATACCTAAAAATCACTTTAATGAAAGATGTCAAAGACTGTCGATGTCCGCTCCTGGCCGGCAGGAAAGACACACGACAAGGTCTGGCGGTGGTCAGGCTTTTCTTTATTCTCTCCTTATACAGTCTGCCCCGAAGCCTCTACCGGTCCGCTCTCCGCGGCTCCTTCCGTGCTTCAGTCTGCCCCGAAGCCTCTACCGGTCCGCTCCCCGCGGCTCCTTTTGTGCTTCAGTCTCCCCCGAAGCCTCTACCGGTCCGCTCCCCGCGGCTCCTTTTGTGCTTCAGTCTCTCTCTCTCTCGGGGGTGGAGGCACTGGCTATATATAGGATTAATAGCTAGGCAGACTACCCTGTGAGGCGGGAACTTAGTGGGGTGATAAGAAACAGGTGCCACACAGGCGGGCTCGATGAGAGGGGTAATCTAGCCCAGGCTTTTGTACTTTCCCACAGGCCTCGCAATCACCGCGTCTGATGACTTGACAGTGCCACGGCTCCCAACAAAAGACCTTTAAGTGAGAATCACTGTTCTCCAAGATACTGAAGAGGATATCAGAAAGTGAAAGTTTGGGTTCTTGTTCCAACCCAAGAAAAACCCCTTCTTCTTGGGTTGGAAGAACCAATGTAGTGAAAATGACCATACTGCCAAAGTTATTTTTATTTCTTTATTTTCTCAATACTCTCCCTCTACTCCTTACTTACATTTTGTCTTTCTTTTGTCATTTTCCCTTCCTTTCCTCTCCATCCTCTACACTTTCCCTTTCTTTTGAATAGTTTGTTCCCATTTCACAATAATTTTATATACTTTGGTCCTTAGTCAGACTTTATATTTCTCACACCAGAGAAACAATGTAATATTTACACGTGTCCAATTTATATCACTTAAGAGTGTGGTCTCAAGGTTCATCATTACCTAAAAATGTCACAAGTTTACCTTTCTTTATTGCTAGCCAGTACTCATGCATAAAAAACCACATCTTTATTCATCAATCGATGGGTATTTGGTTTATTTCCAAGAGTTAGCTATTACAGACTGTGCTGCCAATAAACACGAGTGTGTATATATTGCTGTGGTATGATGTTTTTAATTCTTCTGGGAAGATGCTCAAAAAGAGAAAACTGGATCATAGGGGACCTCTAATTCTAGTTTTTTTCTCTAATCCTAGTTTTTTGAGGAATCTTCTCCATGATTTGCATGGTAGTTTCACCAGTTTATACTCCCACCAACAGTGGGGAAGTGTTTTTTTTTTTTTTTTCTCCACAGCCCCTCCAGCATTTGTTAATGTGAATTCTTGATAATAGCCATTCTTTCAGGGGTCAGATGGAATCTTAGAATTGTTTTAATTTGCATATCTCATATGACCAGTAATGTTGAACATTTTTTCATATACTTATTTTATTTATTTTGTCATTTGTATTTCTTCCTCTAAGAAGTGTGTATTTATTTCAGATGCACATTTTTGGATTGAATCTTTAAATTTGGGGTGGGGTATAATTTCTTTTTGAATGCTTTATATGTTTTAGGTTAGTCCTTTGTCTGAGTTAAAGGAAGGAAAGGGAATGGGAAAAATACAAAATAAAACCTACTGTGTACAAGTACAAATTCACTATGATGTATCTTGTCATTATGTATTTCTAAAATGTATCAATAAAATTAGAAAAACATTTTATTGACAGTTCAATCAAGGTATTCCCTATGGATAGTTGTGAGGATGATGGTTGAGTGGGAAATTGTAATTCTGGCTTTGATGAAGGTGCAGTGTCAGTCTCTACCTAGCTCTGTCACTTGAGGCCAACATTGCCAAACACTGCAGATATCTTCTTTATCTAAGACTGTGAGTATCTGCACTGGTAGTGAGGGGTACTGTGACCTTTGGTGGCAAAGGTGTTTAGGGCCGTCCTATTCTCTTTTTCTCTCCCTGGAGAGGAAATTCCTTTTAGTACTGGGTCCAGTTTTTGGATATGTCATTGGGGTTGTGGCTCAAGTGTCTCACGTGTGGTACTGAGGAGGTGGCTCTAGAATTTGGGTATGTAACACAGGTACACATGAAGGAACCATAATTCTAGGGCTCAATAATACAGTGGCACCAGTGTCAGGGTGCAGGTATCCCTTGTTTGGGGTTGGTAATGTTGATAGTAGTGTGGGAGCAGGGACCGAAGAATGGATTTACACAGAGCTACAGCAGCCATGGGCGTCTGGGATGTAGACTGCCTTGCTGTGGGGGTGGAGCCAGTATCTGAAGAGCTGGTGCACAGGACAGACAACAGCCTGCAATGCTGGAAGCCTTGATATCAGACATGTGGGTAAAATGCAGTGCAATTCTGGGACTATGAGTGGCTCCAGAATCTGGGGAGTGGTATAGCTGCTGTGAAGGTTTCTCAGGTTTTAGAGGCCTGCATTCTAACTGAGTTGTGTTATAACTAGGGCCTGTTACTCAGGGATGGGAAAATTACTTGTCTTTTATTCACTGATTTTCAGCTTGAGTATGTCTGCTTTTGAAGTTTCTTATTGAAATTTTCAGTTCAGTAATTGTATTCTTCAATTTTAGGATTAAAAAAACAGGTTCTATATTTTGTTAATTTCTCATTTGATTCATGTATTGTTTTTATAATTTCCTTTAAGTGTCTATTTTCTCATCATTCACTGAAATTCTGGGAAATTATTCTGAATTGTCAGTTACTTCATAAAGACTGTGGTACATTATTAGTTTCCTTTGGTGGTGCCATTTCCCCCTTATTCTTCATGGCTCCTTTATCCTTGTAGTGGTGCCTGTACACTTCAGGAAGCATTTACCTCTTTCGGGATTTGCAGGTTTGCTTTGGCAGGGGACACTTCTACCGATTACCCCAGCCTGGAGTTCTGAGCAGGCAAGCTGGTGAGGTCTGTGGGCTGCTGGCAGCTGCTGCCGGAATGTCTATTTGGGTATATGTGCTGCCCATGGCTGAAGCAGAATGGAGCTGCCGGCTGGCTTCTACTTTTAGGTAGGGATGCTGACCGGGTTCCCTGATCGTATGAGGCTGGTGATTGTGCTCAGTGTTGGTAGGGTTGCTTTGACTTCCAGGTCGAGTAGGGTGTTATGGTTTAGATCTAACATGTACCCTGAAAGTCTCCTGTGTTCAGAGGTGAAGCTTTTGGAAAGTGATTGGATTGTGGGCATGCTACACTCATCAGTGAGTTAATCTTGGGTTCATGGATGATTTGCTGTTAGAAGGGAAGGCCTGACTGGAAGGCACAGGTCATTGAGGGTATTACATAGAAGGGTATATTCTTATTCCTGGTTCCTGCTTCTTTCCTTTTCCCTCTTTTCTCCATGCCTCTGCCCTTCTTACCCTCCTTCTTAGATCCTACGGGTTGAACAGCTTTGCTCTGCCGTACACTTCTACCGTGCTATGGGATCAACCAACAATGAACTGAACCACGAGCCAGAGTAAACCTCCACCCCTTCAATTTGTAGGTGTTGGGTATTTAGTCCCAGTGATGGGAAAGTAACTAATGCATAGGCTTCAGGCTATGCCTTGCTGTTGGATAGGGCTGGAGGCTGGGTGTCCTGGTCAGTAGAGCAATGGGCTATGTTGTACCGTTGGATGGAATTGCCTTAAGGCTCCTCTGGGTGGGGTGGTAGGCTAGGCTCCTGGGTTGAGTGGGGGAGCTGTCTGTGCTCTGAAATTAGATGTAGTCATTGGCTCAACTCTGGTTGGGTGATGTACGGACTTGGTACCACCACCAAGATCTTTGTACTGATCTCTGCTTTTGAAACTTTTTATTGAATTTTTCATTTGTAATCTTCATCTCTAGGTTACATTTTCACAGGTTATATTTATTTATTAATTTCTAATATTGCCTGTGTATTATTTTCCTGAATTTTTAGGTCTCTGTTTTCTTGTAGCTCATGAACTTAAAGATTTTTCTGAATTCTTTGTTAAAGCGGCCCTAATCTTTTTCTTGTTTCTATCTGACTCCAGGTGCTCTAGTGCTGCCTGTTCTCCTAGTGTTGTTCTCTATGAGGCAAGACAAGCCAAAATGCTAGGGATGCTGGTGTCAGCCTTCACTTCTCTTTTCCTCACAAGGGAAGCTTTAGGTCCAGGGGCATCCTCTTTGCATAATACTGTGCAGCCTTGTGGGAGAGGTGGCGACTCTGGAATCAAGATGAAACCGCTCATTTTAAATGTCTTTAAAATGTAGTTTTTCTCAGTTTTTGGATTCCAGGGGAACATGTCAGCCCTGGGGTTTTTGGATTTTCACAATGGAATTATTGTCTGTAGATAGTTACTATTTTTGTGAGGAAGCTCTCCTGTTGTTCTGTCTTCCTGAATCTCCACCTTGAAATTCTGAATCATTGTTGAACAAAGCGCTCTACAGTGAGGGTGGGGCATACACATTGCATGGCAAGTTCTGCCTATGATTTTGTTTAAAAGGCATTGAATTGTCCACTTTATCAGAGAACAGTGAACTTGTTTCTCCAGTTGAAGGAGTCACTGCAATACAAAGAGCACAGCCAATCATTTTGTAAGAGGACCAGCTGCCAAAAGGAAGAGCCTTTTCAGGGAATGCATAGCTTGAGGTGTGTGAGCTGCCTCTCCTCCCTTTTTTTCCAGTCCTCAATTGTGTTGGTTAAAGGTCGTCCTCTTTTGTATTCTAATCCAATAGAATTGGCAGTTCTGGAATTGTTCCTTGCCTCAGTAAATCCAGATGATAGTCTGTTTTTGGTACTTGTCAAGCTATGAGACATAAAGAAAAAAACAGGGAAGTTTCAGCTAAGACAGGGAATACCAGGGTGTGAGGGATGGAAGCAACCTGTGTTTCCATGAAGTACAATAACAATTTGAAAGCATCCTTTAGGTCACATGAGACTATAGAGGGTGATGGCTTACATTATCTCATTGCTTCCTAATCACCCCAATTATTAGGTGAGCAAGGGGACCATGCAAGAAAAGACCACGGATGGATTACTGAGGTATGGCTGATGCAAATACAACAGAATCAAGACACTATGCAGAGCCCGCCAAAGACCCATGAATGTACCCTGCAAGAGAGCTGGCATATGATTCTAGGCACAGAGGTAGACCCATGATGATTCACTGAGGGCTAGACAAAGAATTGGAGACCTCCGCCCAAAAAGAAGAGATGGTCATTTTTTCTTTTTGTATCAACGCAGTTAGATAAGCACTTGGAAAAAGAAGTGGGTAAAGGAGGATAGATTATAGCTCTTCCTTATATCATGATAGGAACCAAGTCTAATCTGTGCTAGGAAAGAAGGGACAGAAGGGAAGGAAAAGCTGTCGGGCAGAAGGAAAGCCTTGAAAAGAAAATCTAAAAAATTTTTTAAGATGAGCCGAAGTCTTGAGAATAGAGCAAAAATGTCTTAATACTAGAAGAGTAAAATCGTGAAGAACTGGCATGCACATAACACCTGGGAAAGAGGTGTTTGGCAGAGCAGGACCTGGGCCAGAGGAAGCAGGGCACGCTGACGTGAAGGAAGGGGGCCGGGCCGACAGA